CATATCAGTGTCGGAAACAATAGATGAATAAAAGTAGAAACCAAAATTTTTGAAAGAGTCATTATAAACAGAATCTTTATAACAACAAACTAGTGGAAGAGACATATTTATTGCAAATGCAATGGTACACGGAACCTACGTTCCAAACAGTAGTCTCTTTCCCAACGACACGAGACAATAACGCAAGTGCAGCAAGACCCATGTAATGTCTTTCTTGTTCCCAACGAGAAGAAATTCAAGATTACGTCGCGGTTGATCTCTCGCGTTAGCATTACTGTTTTTTTCGCCTCCCCGTCCCGCGAATGGATTTTTGCGACACTCCTCGTTCAAGAAATGGTTCATTAAACATGCAAATTCGCCGTCGCGCGGTAAAGCCTCGTAGCGCGGCGAATAAATACATACTAGTAATTAATCATTTCCCTTTTTATTCAAAAGCTTCACTGTTATCCAGCAACATCGCATATTCCCGTAAACTTTTATTATCGATAATAACCGTTCGCAGCGAAACACTGGGCGCTAAGTGAATGAGTGCTGCTGATTCCATTGTGAACGCGTGACCAGCGATATAAAGAAGGATCGAGGATCAGCTTCTCCGATCTAAACTCGAAACAGCGAACTGTGAAAGGCAAGGAACGGCATGGCGGATCTAATTAAGCCGAACGTTCGAAATTGGAAGTAGAGTTAAACCCCGATTATCCGATTTAATTGGACAATTCGCATGAGTAAAGCCTCGGAAAGAAATATTACGATGTTTGTAAAATTCGATTGCACACAGTCCGAAGTAGAATTTAAGTATCTAAACGATCCAGTCCGCGGGAACTGTCGACTCGGTTAATCGGGGTCCTACTGTGAAGTCGATTGAAATCGGTTGAACGCGTTCGAACGTATTCAAAGTGGAACGATAGAAAAATAAATTATCGCATTTCGTGCCCGTAGTCGAACGGAACGCGCTAATCAAACGGCGATAGGTGAGCTAATTACAACGGCGCGCGGCTTTATGTCGTGCTGATTGCCCGTAATTGCGTCGAGAATCATTTAGCAAGGGACTCGGGATGCCATTAAGTTTCCTACGATAGTTCACGTACGCGGAGATTAATCGCCGCGCGTTGCCTAAAGATCGGCGACGCGTTATGTCACCTTCGCCGACGCGATTGCGTGAAACCTATCATTAGCTTCATCGTTTGCATGGGTAAATGAAAATGTAACCGGCGTCTCAACGATTCCTGACTGTTCCGCAATGGCGGAGAGAACTTTATGCGCGCCGATAGTTTCGACTCGAGCGCGTTTAAATCAATGACAGTCTCTGGGCAATATTAATCATTATCGAATCGGCAGCTACTGAATGTAAAGCAGTCAACTAGTGACATCGCGTGTATGCGTTTGGAATAGAAGTTATAATTGAAAATTTGGTATTGTCCAAAAAGTGTGTAGAGCAAATAAAAGCGCGTTGGTATCGATTATTTTATACGTTCATTGCGATGATATACTAGATAACTGACATTAAAGGACGTATCAATTAATCAATAACTTTCACACATTGCGAACAGCATAGTGTAATTTATCTATTACGATACATTTGTTAAATTTTAACGATTTCCCAGCTGGTACACAAAGGAAGGCAAAGATAATGGTCTAATTGCAAAATACAATCACATACAAGGTTTCTCATTAACCCTGTTACTTTACAATTCAATTCTAATTATTTAACTTGACGAGTCGCATATTATAGCAATGTTTCCCTTATTACATTTCGCAAGATTCCAATAATAAAACTAAAAAATAATGAGCCTGTATTGTAACGGCACCTAATACGGCACACCTAATTTGAAAAGCTGTCCAAACCGAGAGAATCATGTATTCGATGAAACCTGCACCAAAGCACAAAGAGATTAATAACCATTCGTCCACTGATCGATAACAGATCAAAAATCGAAATGCTTCTAATCCACAGTGAAAACTGAATAAATTCAAAAACGGCGAGCTAGAGAATGCCACCTTATGGAACGCCTAGGTAATTCGTAAAGAAAACTCCATATGTGTTATTTTAGAAACTGTTCCATGTTATCCGTCAGCCTACACATCGCGTTGTAACAGAAGTGATGGGATATAAAATCGTATGTAAAGTCGTAATAAAATTTACGTTCCAGAGGCAGACAGGTAAACGAGAAGTGATCCGGCGAACGGGAAAGGACTTTCGTTGCGTAGGCAGGCATTCAATGACGTCACGGAATCAATACGGTACGCCGGTCGGATCCTACGTCACTGGTGACACCAGGTTTATCCTTGTCAGCCGAGTCGAAATGCTAGAAACCGGGGTACCGTGTCATCGCGCAGCTCCCGTGGATTAACTAAACTCTGCTCTAATGCAATTTGCCGTTTCTGTGGAGGCGAGCGCAGTCTCGTGCCACCGAAGAAGTCCGATTGCAGCTTTCACCCTCAATTTCCCTGTATCCGGCTCCATTCATTGTGTTGTTTGCCGAGGAAACTCCGCGCCAGTATATCCGGATCTTCCGAGTTAACGCAATGGCTCCCATTGACGCGGAATTACGTCTTCCAGCGAGTTGCAGTTCCACGAAGCCGACGCGAAACAACATTCTTCTAACGGATAATAAAACTGCACGTGACTTCGGCGTAAATCTTTGACGTTCTTCTTTTGCAATGTAACGTTAAGTTGATAGTAAACATCTTGTATGACAGTTAATAAACATAAATGGCACTAGATTCTTTAGAGTTCGAATTGAATATTTTTCTTCTGTCGACTGTTATAAATGAACATGGAATTCTTTGTTTTTGGTAAGTTAATAATAATAAAGTGATAAATCTTGCAAAAGAAATCTTAGGGAAAGGGATTTCTTTGTTTTTACGAAAGTTTCATTAAACTATTTTTTGTTGGAAATATTCTTTTTGAGGAGTTTGCACCTTCCGATGCATTTTTTGTTTATATTATTGTTGCGTTAGAAGGTAAATCACTTCCTATTAATCTAGTAATTCAATATGTAACAGGGACAATATACATTATTGTTATTACCGTGAAAACGGTTCGAGAATAAAATGGACAATATTTTCAATGGAATCACGTGCTATCAATCGCGAGGAGGGAACTGCGATAAATTTTCCAGCCCCTTCGTGTTTCCTTTCGTCGGCACGCATTTCGTAACGCTGGCCATTATAATGCAGACGGTCTCGCGTGATCGCGTTTCCAACATCCGCGTTGATATCGATATAGAGGGACACGGCTTTCAAGCGAACAAAACGAAAACGCTTATGAATCGCCAGTGCCGCGAGACTTTCTCTCGAAGGGTTGCCGAAACAATGCTCCGATCGTGAGCGGTTAACGAAAAAAGCGGAAGCATTGAGAAATGGTCTTGGTTATCGCGGACACGCGGTAAAAGAATCTAGAATAGTGTGAAGTAATCTAAAATAATCTAAAATAAACTAAAATAATCAACTGAGAAGTATAATTTTAGGCAGTTCTTAGGCCGTAAAGTGCGTTCCTTGAACGCGGGTCAGTTTCATGGTCGCGTAATGGCTCGCAAGTAGGTTAAACGGTTAGAGGGCTCTTTGAGGTAGCTTCTTCAAGCTCGTTAATCGATCAACGTTCGAAATACAAGCGTCGACTGCCACGGTGTTCCGCAAAGGTAAGAGGAATTGCACGTGGAAAGTTCAAAGTGTCCCTGAAACTCCTTCCTCAAACGAATAAAAATAAGTTCTTACGATTACTCTGTATTGCCTTCGAAATCACTACCTTATACAGCTGTACACTTATATGACTGAGCTTCAGTTTATAAATATGTAACTGATACCACTTTCACAATCATTAGAACACTCGTTAACTACCTAGTCTGACTTATAATATGATAAAATACGGTCGTTTGCTTTATGACTTATTTCGTGACTACATTAACAAATGTTACTTCGTTATTCATAATTTCAGTTTAACGCCACGTTTTTCACTCCATCGCTGAAATTATTTCTCACGATCCTATATATTTCTGTTCGAACAATTAATTTCTCCTATGTTGAAATACAGAGGAAAGAATGTTTAAATGAATTGCATAGGACCATGAAGATACACTGAAATTACACTGGTTCTAATTAACGAAAAGGATAACGCTGCAATCAGGCTGACTGCAATTAATTAATTCGCTGAAAAATTGAATTTATGCACGCCCTTGGACTCGAGAAGCAAGATTCTGGGTCACTGCTTGTCGAAACCCGGGAATGCATCGCCGATGATGCGCCGAGTGATAGGGTTGCACCCTTTGCTGTCTGCTAACAATATCATCCGGCGTTGTTCACCGGCGAAGGTGGCCGGACGGTTTTACGGTCTCGCTCAGATGCATCATGGAAATCAGACGGGTAATTGCCGGGTCTGTCTGGAATGAACAGTGAGTCCAGTCAATTGCAAGCTTTGCCGCAAATTGGAAAATTGCTGCGTCGAGGGAGAAGGGAACTTCACCTCCTTTAGCAAAGGTCTCGCGACGCCCTCGGCTATTTACCGTTCTAATTGCTGGAATCGATGTTTTATCATCGATCGGCGATCAACATTAAGCAAGAAATCGCTTTAAACGTGCGGTGAATTGATTTAGTTCCCGAGAACAAGGGATTCGAAAACTTCCATCTTCGCTGTTGCGAAGACTTTTTGTGATCATTATAATTTTCAACCCTTACGTGGAGCTTTTCATTATTACGTAGGAATTATTCCATTGGATTTTTTAATATTGCTTCGATCGAATGGGTAACATATTTTTAGAGCTACCGCAAACACAAGGGTTACTTCTTTCAATAGTAAAACTTTCTTCGTGGAGCTCTGATGTAAGGGATTCCTGTAATTACCGTCCTTAGAAATTAAATGTAATTTAGAAACCACAAATTTCCTTGACTATTTTTCTATTTTTTATAGTCCTTAATATTCCTGTGCCAGTATATATAGTGCGGGACTGTTATTTGCTGCCATCTTCTGGAAATCATTAAAAACATGATGCTTCATTGATGTTGCCGATTGAGCCGCACTAATCTTTTATACGTGCACGTGCAACATGAACTTAACCTTGTTGCACCGTTGACATAGAAAGTATTTGGGAAAATATTATAATACTCGGAGGATAGGTACCATTTGACAATGGCTCGATTAAAAGCGAATAAACTCGGGCCACGTTTAGCCAGCAGAGCTAATGCGAAACGCTGGCCAAAAGGACAGAGTTCAAGTTCTAATCCAGAAACGACAAAACACCGTGAACAGGCAGCATGGATGTTTTTTAAAGAAACCTCAGGTTTGTTTAAGTACACTTGACTTTCTTGCCATTACATTTTTTCAATATTTTATTTGGATCTTGCCCTTGTGTTATAGCAAAACCTGGTCTGACAAAGGAGGACTTACAGAAGCACGATGCTATTCAGGGTATTGGCCCTCAGTTTGAGAAGCTTGATCTTGATGAAGAACATTCAGATGCTGGCACGGAAACTACAGCTAATACTTATGATACATTTGCCAGTAACTATAGTAATTGTTCCAATATATCATTTAACAGGTAGGTAATTAAAGATGCTTGAAATAAATGTTATTGGGTGTTAAAAAGCTCAATCCTTAAGAATAAGAGAAATGTTTGTAAACAAAGAATGTTTTTACAGGTTCTTAAGTCACTTCCAATCAAATTCAATTTTGCACAAGGAAATGTTAGCTGTGCTCTCAGCAGTTACAGAAGTGATCAAGCAAAATGGTGGAAATGAATCTTCCACAGAATATTTTGCTGCATTGGTATGTGTAAAGTATTATTTATGTTTTTTGAAAATGAGAATTAATTTTAAATATTAATATTTAATAGATGAGTACTTTGGAGGCAATTGAATCTGAGACTTCAATTGCAGCTACCCTTTCACTGTTGGGGATGGGTTTAAAAACGGTTCCTAGGAATGTTCTAAATGCACAGTTCAGTGCAGCAAGTAAAATATTCATAGACATTCTTACTAAACATGCTTCTTCAAAAGAGTTTCTAATACTGCGTCATGTAAGTTTGTAAATGAAATTAATGTTTAATGTTTCATGCAGAGGATATATTCAATTAAATATTCTAGACTGTTAGCAACTATGTTCAATTCTGAATACCAAAAGAGATTGACAATTCAATTTTATTCCAGTGCATTCATTGTTTGTCTGTGCTTCTTCGCGCATTAGAGGAAGCTTTATGGTCAAATTCATCTACTATGCAAGTATTGGATGCTCTTTTAGCATTTACCATACACAGTAAACCTAAAGTAAGAAAGGCAGCTCAACGTGGAGTTTGTGCTATATTATCAGGTACATGATATATAAATTTAAAAATGTTATGAACTATAAATATTTTACAAAACCTCCTCATTATAGGAAGTGCAGTTATGAAGGATGATGATCGACCACAATATCACCCTGGGTCACCACAAATTGCAAAGCACTGTATTAACCAATTGCAACTTACTTCAGAACCTGGTAGTGTTACTACTGTACTTCATATACTTACATTATTGAAAGACATCACACATCAGTTACCAAAGCCACATGTGAAGGTAACTATTAGAAATTTACTGAGCACCGAATATATACCTTATACAATTAAAATATTTTTCTTTGTTTAGTTGATTTGCGAGGCATTGTTAAAAATGATGACAATGAAAAACGTTTTAATAACGTCGTGTTGCCTTCAAACGTTCCATGGACTGTTCATTTCCCGACCCCCTGAATTTGTGTTGCCCGCTCAAAGAAATGCGCAACTGATTACCGCTCTCTACGATTATCAGCCTCCTGCAACTGATTCACAACCAACGCTCGCATGGCTAACGGTTATGCAGGAAGCTCACTTATGTTTGGCTCAGTAAGTATAAATTGTATACTTAAATTTTATATTTCCAAGTTCACTGATGTCAAATCGTCTGATTTTTCATTTACAGAAACGGACTGAATTTATGTGCAGCCATTTTGCCAAAAATGCTGGCGAAATGTGTAGAACTCTGGCTCTCGGATAGGCCGGAAGTTATATCTGGTACATCACACACAATCAAAATTTTATTGCAAGATTGTGTTGGCAAAATGTGTGAAAATGAGCAACAAATGAATAAGTAAATATAGGAATTTTTATCTTCATCTTATTTTAATATACCATCGCGTATTGATATTACTTATATTATTTTCATTTAGGTACAACAATGCGATTGATCAAGTAATTGTTATAATGCAGAAGGCTCTTGGTTACCAATACTTGGAAGCTTGGTATCACATTCTACACTTAGTAGCGTTACTCTTCCAGGTAATAATTATATCTTAGTTTTATATTAACTATTTCCATTAAAATTTATTTTTTTTTTGTTATTTCAGATAACTGGTAAATCAGGAAGTCCTAAATTGATAGACATATTGAAAATATTAGCTGATTTACGGGACAGTTACAATTTTACTTCTAAAAATGATGCTGAATATGCTATTGGAGCTGCTGTAAGGACATTAGGTCCAGAAATAGTACTCAATTTAATTCCACTGAAAGTAAGAGATATCTTTAGTGACTATAAGATCACTGTTTTGAGTAGATACTATAAATATTTTTTTCATAGACGTCGAACAACGAAATAAATCTACAGAGAACTTGGCTACTACCACTATTGAAAGACTGCATAGTAGAAGGATCACTAACATTTTTCCTGTGCACATTACTGCCAATAATTGAATTATGCGAGTGAGTATTTTAAAACATTTTTATTCGATAGCAAGGTTTGTATCTACTAATAATTTCAGGATAAAATCTGCTGAACCAATAGGAGGAAAAACTTACGAATTTTTATTGATTCAAGTATGGGCTATCCTGCCAAGTATCTGTCACAATGCTATAGATGTGAAAGATAATTTTAAGGTATATATTAAGATTCAAACAATAAACGTACATTTTCGTGCGTACGTTAATTATATAAATCTTTTAGAATATTGCTAAACTGCTGGGAACGACTTTTGCCAACAAAAAGGATGTGAGGCTATATATAATGTCTGCCATAAGAAAATTAGTCGTTAAAGCAATAAACGATAATAAGAAAGAAGACATCGCAGAAATCTCTAAATTTGCAAAGAACTTTTTGCCATTATTTTTAAATCTGTACACGACTAAACCGAATGGAACTGACGAGGAAGGCCACCGTCTTGCTGCATTTGACTCAATTAAGGTAGTATACAAATAATAAGCTCAGTAATGACATTTCAATGTTAATTAGTATACTCTATGATACTTGATATTAATTGTAACTGTTTCATTCTACAGACGTATCTCACAATTACGAGCAATCAGTTGATAAATGAATTGTTTGACCGTGCACTGTGTAGGTTGAATGAACCTAATACCGATGAGTTTTTCAAAGAAAGTGTTCACGATATAATAAGGCTGTTAATCGAGTATACTGATATTGACAGATTAAAGACTTTCTATGATATATGTGTACCGGCTATTAAGACGTCTTCCAAATTGAAGGAGCAGAAGAAAGGATATAGGTAAATTTTTAAATCATATTTCTAATTATATTCTACAAATAAGAAGTGGTATATTTAAATATGAACTTCCAGATTTTTGGAAGACCTATGTGGCAGTGAAAAAGAAACATGTAAAACATTTGTACAACAACACAGGCGTGAGATACAAAAATTATTAACGTCCTCGGCGACAGAGGTTTTAAAACCAAGTAGAGGGGTATGTACCGGAATCTCGTTATACACTGAAAATTCTCCTAACTAATTAAAATATATAACGTAATATTGCTTTAATTAGGCTCGATTGAGATGTTTAATTCATATAATCAAAGCTCACCCGCAATTAGAGAAAACAAAATTTTTGGAAGCCATAGTACCGGAAGCATTAACGTATTTGAAGGACATGAATACAAAGTGTCGAAGTTCTGCCTATCAACTTGTGAACACTATCGCACAAAAGTTTTTAGAACGTCCGGAGTATCTTAAGAATTACGTGGATATGTTAATGGCTGGTTTAGCAGGCTCGCCCAAGTACTGTACCGTTTCTATAATGGCACTTGCATCTCTTACTTATCATTATAACGGTAATGAAATTGTATTAAATTACAAATTATGTAACGTAACGATGACAATTATAAAATCGTAGACGGCTCTATTTATAAATACTATTAATCGTTTAAACAGGATCATTAGGGGTAGAAACAATCAAGGAGATATTCGAACATGCTTGCAATCTCGCCGCGAGTCCTACAAGAGAGATTACAGAAGCTGCATTATCTTACATTAAAGTGTACATCACAATCATGCCATCTCCTATTGTTGCGTCCACTTTACCTAGACTGGTAAGAATACACTAGACCAATAATAGCAATTATTTAAAGAATAGAAACAATATGTTTTATTGTGCATTACTTTGATTCTTTTACGAGTTAAATATATTATTACTATAATTACGAATGATTAATCAAATTACAGATCGAATCTTTATGTGCAATAAACGACGACTGCCACAGACATTTTAGACAAAAGGTAAGAGACATTCTGGTAAAATTGCTAAGAAGATATGGAATGCAGCCAGTCTCTGCTATGATACCTTCCACAAACGTAATGCTGCACAAAAGATTAAAGAATATAAATAAACTAGAAGAAGCAAAGAAGAAGAACAAGGAACTGAAGAAAATGGCGGAACAGGATAAGGATGAAGATGAATTTAATCCAAAGAGGAGGCCAAAGAGGTAACATTAACTTCGACTGTAAATAACATTTCGATTTTACACAGTAACTATTGTCGTTGTTGATATATAGCATAGAGGAAATAGTGGCTGACAGCGAGGACGAATATGATGACATTGAGAATACAGAACTAAAGAAAAATAAGAAACGTACATCAAGGAAAGAAGCTTGGATTCAAGAAAATGAGGAGATCATCGATCTTATTGATCCTGCGGCTGCTAGAAATATATCAAGTAAGGTTTCAGCAATATTATAGTTTAAAACTTACACTTTGACATGAAATGCAATTGTTAAATGACGACATACAATCTTTTTTAGCAACACAACCTGGAGTTCAAAATCCGAATGCACCAAAACCAAAGGTCAAGGATCGTGGGTTCAAAGTGGCACCAGATGGACGTTTTATTATTACAGAGGGCAATGAAAAGGATGATGAGGTCGAAGTAAGGAAGAAAAAGAAGGTGTTGCTTTTGCATAGCGATTCAGAAGATGATTATGGTGAATATAATTATATCAAGAAAGATAAATGATATAAATGAAAGGAATGCAATTGATAATTTGTTTTCAGAGGATAATGTTGAGGTTCAGTCCACAGTTACAGCGCAGGACACGGGTAAAAAGCGCAAGCATAGTGAACACTTTGATAATGTTAGCGTGAGAAGTTCAGCTACGTCAAGATATCAAGGTAATATAACTGTAGATATACTTTAATAATTTATTTTTAGATATTATTTTCATATAATGAACATTGACTATTTCTAGCTGGAGGCTCTGGCATACATAGACCATTAAAGAAGGGAAAATCACACCATGTACCAGGAATGGAATTCAAGGCACCAAAAGCTGGTGGGGATGTTAAGAAGAAGGGTAAACCAGATCCATATGCATACATACCTCTGACGAGATCAGCATTGAACAAGAGGTAATTGTTTCACCATTTTAAACTTTATATATTAAATTAATATATTATACATCGAATACAAAATCATTCGTTGTACGACATTTGTATCGTTTCTAGGAAAAAGAAAAAGAACGCAAGCAAATTTCACGGTATTGTCAAAAGCGCAAAGAAGGGTGCACAAATTGGTATAAAGAACAGAAAGAAAGGATAGAAACTATTTGTTGATACCCCTAGATGGAAGAAGAACTAAAAATGATCGCGCTTGTGATGAAGTGTACGTGAGTATATGAAAACTGTGAAGCTAGAACAGAATGAAATGTGGATTTAGTTCTGTTAATCCACAGTGAATGTATATTGCTGTGTTATATTGTTAATAAATATATACATTTGAGCAACTAGAATACTTTTCTAAAATAAAATGATGTTACGATAGAAGTGTACTTTGTGCATTCTTTCCATCACATAACAGGATTTACAAAGAAACCGTTTCTCTTTTGCGACTTATTTAATTTATTACGTATTTTAACGAATCAATGTTTCTATAACTGATACAAAATAATTTAAGAATAATAATATTAAAATAATGATCAGCTGTCCTTAATGTCTGAAAGAAAAATAATTATTCGAATTTTACCACCTAATATTACATGGTTTATTAACAATTAAGTAACATTTCTTAACAATAAAAATAACAATTCCAAGTGTAATCAGACTCACATTTTTTGTACATTAACTTTTTTTAGGCAGCATACCCTCCAATTCACCAGCTTCGTTCATTTCCTTCACAATGTCCAATCCTCCGATCAGTTCCCCATTTACATATAATTGTGGATACGTTGGCCAATTACTGAATTTCTTTAATCCTTCCCTAACATCATTATCTTGCAGAATATCAAATGACTGATAATCGGCTTTACAAGTATCCAAGATGGAAACTATTGTTCTAGAGAATCCACAACGTGGATTGGCAGGGTTTCCTTTCATAAATAACATACAGGGTGCTTGATTCACTAATTTTTTTAGCCTATCTTCAATGTTCTGTTTTGGTTTACATGCTTCCACTGGAAATGAGTCTTTGCTAGCCGAATGACGTTTTACTTTCTCTGTTATAGCAGAAGGATTGGCTCCATCAATTCTATCGACTATAGTATCATTTTTTGCTAGAATTACTGTTGGCACTGCTGTGATACCAGCTTTCATAGACACTTCAGGTACTTTTTCAGCTTCGATCTTGGCAAACTTGACCCCTTTATACTCGGGCAGTTTGCTCATTTCCCCTATTACATCATTTATTTGAGAACACTGATCAGCCCATGGTGCATGGAAGTGTATAACAGAAAGGTCCTGTGACCTAACACGATAAATAAACATTGACAATATGAGTCAACTCATGAAAAACCTTTGTAATTAAAGTTTGTAATTAAGCTTCTATGTTTTGTGTCATAAAATCCTTAATAATAGCGAGTTAATCTATGTTCTCTTTTAATTAATTCCGAGAAACCTGGGTTATATAAATATTTCCGAACGGCGATAATATTATCTTTGCCTACTATGTCAATACAGGAACATAAACCTCAATTAAGCATCATTGCATCATTAAGATATTGTCACAACTGTGGTACCAAAGTCTTCCTATTTTATCGCGAAACTATATCGTTAAAAACTCGTGACTTTCGAACCGAGGGGAATTTCCATTTCAAACAACAGGAGAAAGACATGTTTATTACCGAGAATTATACAAACAAATAGAATTATTCGAATACTGTAATGAGAAATAATAATTTCTTGAATCTAGAGTTGCAATATGATAAAACTTCTATAATAAAACAAGTTCATTCTTAGCGGTATGTCAAGACAAGGATAAGGTTATGTCACCCCTAAAAATTGAATTGTCGAAGTACAATTACTCACTTAACGTAATCGTCGTATTCTTGTTGATTGCCAAGTTCGGTGACAGTCATTCTGTCACTGAATTAGTTTTCTTCCCTTATAAGAAAACACGCGTTATAAAAACAGAAATCTCATCCACTCTTTCCTGACCACTGCGGCGTCTACGCGACTTTTAGCATGACTGTCATGGAGGTTCTGGTATGAAACAACTACTGCTTCGGCGCAGAAGCTCTCCAATCTTTTCTAGGCTACAGTAGAATATCCCCGTTCTGCGAACGGCAAAATTCTCGAAATACTTTTCCATTATTAACAGTCAAATTAACGTGCAATTAAATTATCATTTATCATTAGACTGAAAGAATGTACCATTATCATTTATACGACTGTTCATTAAATTTGAAAAAGTCAGTTTAACAAAACGAGTTTCCGATTGTTTAAAATATGTGAAGAATCTTCCTTTAAAAATGATATACAAACAAAATTTTAATTCCTTGCTCAAGGTACACATGATTTTAACTAACGAATTGTAATGCCCGATGACTTAGAACACGTGGTATAAAGGAATCAATATTTCACCCATGAATCAGGTTCCTAGAACGCCTATACACGGCAACCATATGTACTCCACAGACATACCGATCGCTCCTAACTACTTACAAAACAGTGAAAGTAAACAAAAAAATAAGGAACAAATCAATCTCCATCTATTCCGAGTTCTAGAAAGAATAAAGGATGATTTTTCAAAACTAAAGAATCGTTTACGCAGTTAACCGTTTACCCTAAGTTCAGCAAAGAGAATCAATTCAAGCCTCCCAATTAAAAAGTAACTATAGGCGTGCGCCGTTGCGTAGGCGAACATATCCGGTAACTTCCTACTCCAAGCGGATGTTTCTCAAGACTACTGATTACAAAACGTCCAACACTCATAACACAACCATCCTCCCGTCATCCCAAAGATATAAGGATAACCACCCTAACAATCAAGTCCTAGGTACATTCTGACTAAGAGAAATCTAGATTGGTTTCTCCATTAGAAATTGTTGTCCACGGTACATTAGATTTCAACAGAAACAAACTCGCAAAAAGAGCAATTAGAAAACTGGTCTACTTCTATGTCATTCCCTCTACTCTCAACGACCCTATGAAAACATAGGCACCGAGGACCTTGACCAACATGTACCCCTAAATCCAAACTCGAGTCGTGTTCATTGGAACCAGGGAACCTCGAATAAGTACTATTCCTAGTCGCAAGAATGTGAAACGTTCGTTACCATAGAATCTGTCAAGATACACCAACTAGCCGTCCTAGAAACGGTATGAATCATCGGCAGTCATTCGAAGAGGAAAGAAGCCTGCGGCTGGCAGTCGCTGCGGCTCGCGTGCGGTAAAACAGGTGCACCATAAGAAAGTGACCAATGGCGGCAGGGTCGTGTCGCCGCGCGGTCCTCGTCGTACGTCATCGCGCGATGACGGTTGGGGTGGGGGGACCAGTATAGGAAGGAAAATACGAAGCCGCCGAGGGCTGTCAAGAAGACACCTCGCCCACAAAAAGCAGATGCAGATGCGACCGGACTGCGAACACGTGCGACGATTTTTTTGCGACGGTCTCGCGTACCCGCGGGTGCAATGTCCAAAAAATTGTCGAAGAGCGAGGCCCTCGAGGAAATATCCAAGTGGACGAACGATGACGTGTTGTGCCTGTTGCTAAAGGTGAGTAAACTCCGTCGACCGACGGCCGGTGAACTCGGTCGACGGGATCCTGGACGCTAACTGTCGAGCCCTCCTCCAGAATCTTGTCGCCTATCTATTTAGGCTCCATCTATCAACGACTAATACGTATTAAGCGGAACTTCGGCGAGGCTGAAACGCGATTAATAACCGTGGGTGGTGTAGACCAATTAAAACTGATCGGTATAGGTGCTCGAACAGGTGACAAGACACGTTTCGCACAGCGGAACGTTGATTATTGTTGTTACGATCGAAATGGATCTCACGCGATCGACAGATCTATGTTTTAGTTGTTTCTTGGTTGTAGGACGATGGTAACTTTGGGGATACCGTGGCTCATATGTATATTTTTAACTTTGTTTATGGGATTAGCTTGATCTTTTATGGATTCAATGAAATCGCACTTCATTGGTTTTGTTTGTAATCGGATGTTTGTTGGTAATTTTAGTGAGATTTTTAGTGTACAGGGAATATGTATGTTGTAATTGTTTGAATTTTCAGGGATCTTATCTTTGGAGCGCTAGAGGATTTTTAAAAATTAGATTCAGTGTAAACTGATGTAGGTTACTAGGTTCTCCAATGTTGTAGCGATAGTTTCAAATTCGAGTAACTCTACAAATGTTAGTACGTTATTTTAAACAAACGTGACTGTATTTTACGTACATTTAGATGTATATATATATAGATATCCATTAATATTTTTACTGCACGTTACCCACTTACAGCGAACACGTGTCTTGGTACCAAAGATAGGTAATAATATTTATAGTAACGCGAAGAGTCAGGGGTTCATAGTAAGACTACGAACCGCGAGTTAATTCAGAATGAAGTCACGTCGGCATTTCTAATATCATTAAAAATGTAATGAAAGAAATGCTATATGACTCTTGTATAATAATAATAGGAAGTATCTTGTGGTCATTTACCACGATTACAGAGAATGTTTGACAAAGATATTGTGTTATCATCGTGTACGTGTCCTACGTCCGTCTCTGATACGAGTATCCTCATTTTACAGTACGGCTTGGAGGAGTGTTGTGCAACGATAGCGAAGCGGCAGATTGGTGGGGATGAGTTTCTGGTGAGTAAATCGATCGAAACCGAAAGAAGCCTTTTCTTACTCTGGAAATAATTAATTGATCAAACCTTTAACGTTCACCGAATTTTTAAAAATAAAAAGAATACTTTAATCGAAACGCTGCAGCTTCGAGCTGTGTCTTTGATTGTCATCTTTTGTTCGAATTGAATTTTCACTCGTCGCGGGCATACGATCACTCGAGTCACTTTCTTCCTTTCGCGGTTCGCTGATTCTGAGTAACATTCGCGATGTATGTGCACGAGGTCTGTTGACATCACGTGCCTATATGCATTGTAAACTGAGATCGAATGGTTCCTGATACCGGGGATAGTCGAGGGACATTTAAAGCAGTGAACGAGAAGAATGGAGTTATGTTACCATAGTTCAGAAATAATATTTTATTGTCTTAACACTGAAAATACCGGACGGGTCAAATTGACCCATTTTAGAGTTTTTATTTTGTGAATATTCGAATTATCATGGCACGTTTGCGAAAGATTTTTAATTGAATTTGTATAGTTGCACAGATACGATACTAGGCGACCCTTCGAATCCCAAGAAACGTATTATTCTAACTTTTATAGAAAATTAGAAATTGGTCACTGTAATTGTTCAGTAGCTTTAGTCTTAAGCTGAACTTAAGGAAGCAACGTTATACATTTCACACAATATATAGATTGTACATCAATAAACATCCCAGTAAAAGTACTTAGACCGAGTGTGCATACAAATCAATGAAAACAATTATTCAAGTTATATCAGTCTGAAGAAATTCACTCTGGAACAACCGACGTTTAACACGATTAATATGCAATCCTTATAAAAATTGTAACAGATATCTTTTCTGTATATACTGATTACAGTACTCAAGTGAAACTATTTGTCGTCCAAGTGATTTCGCGTATTCAACGCTAAAGCTACCAGACAGGTCAAAATTCCTGATTTCTCCTTTTTGCAGTTATGAATAAGAAAACAGACGTTTCTCCGAGAAATCACAGAAATCGACATAGCAATGCGCAAATTGGATTGAAAATCAACCCTTTGCACTCGAGAGGTGACTCTCAACACTTGATTTCGTACAATAAAACTATAAAATTTGATATTTAATATTATACTTCGTATAATGCATCAATCCAAGGAATATTGAAATAAAATATCTTTGTTCCTCAATGTACGTATGATTTCTCTTCGAGTTTCACAAAATATCGCCTTTACTTTATCACAAAATGTTCAAATATTTCTAGTGAAAAACTTCCGAGTGCAAAGGGTTGAAGTCTCAATAGATGTACCCACGAAGACTTCATACAGGAATTTCAGAAAGTCAACTTAGCTGCTTGGTAGTTTTAGCGTTAACGCTTTTAAGGTGGCGATTGCTGCGAAATAAGAAAACTGTAACCCGTCTCTATAACGAGGATTGACCCAGTTGAATAAAAAAACTGAAACTCGAGATTGACTTGGACTAGCAGTTGAAATAAAATGAGCTGCTCGGGACAATTTCGTCGAGTGTACGAGCTAGACGATGCAGCGGCTTCATTCACGTCGGTCTGGCTCGTATTTCGGGCCGGCTGGCGCGTGCTCTCTATTCTCCTCTTAATTAATTGTAATTATTCCAGCACTTGACGGAAGGGAAGCTGGCTCTGTGGAAGAACGACCTCCAGCCCGCGACAAGATGGTAAGAGAAACGATACACAAACCGCGGCCGATTTTCTCCGCGGAACAGCGCGCGCTTGTTCCCATCAAATAGGATTACGAAGTCCGTGTCACGGTCTAACGGTTCCTCTCCGCGCGCGTGAAGAATCTCTTCGAGACACGCCTTCGGGTTCCACCTCAATTCCTGCAATCGTGCGGTCATACGCATCAAAATACGCCCCGTGCTCGGAAACTTCTCGAATCGCCGCTTGGAAACAGTCCGACGGTTGTAAACAGATTTTTCGGACCGTAAACGGTACGTGGGATGGCGCCGGTGTCTGTTAACCCTTTGCAATCGCGAGGCGAATTATGTTTAATAGAAGATTACGGAAAGTGTCAAGTATAAAATGAGAATAATATTAAGATGGAAAGTTATAAATGAAAATTGTAGAATTGAAATACTTATTTTTGTAATAATTTGCGTGAAACAGAGATTTGCTATTTGTTTAAAATTTAAGAAATAATACACTTTAGTTGTAGAATTACGACTGTAAAGGGTTAAGTGGCGTCTTAATGGTTCACGTCTTGAGGATAGTTTATATTTTTCCGTGTGGGTTTACTTTTTGGTTGTACTGTGATTTTGGGGACACCCTGTATATTAGTGATTTGGAGAAAGAATTGTGAATATGATGTACATGTTCATAGATTCTCTTATCTAATTAATTATAAATTCGTTTCATTATATTGTTCGTAATTTTAATCTGAGCGTGCGAGCATAAAAGGATTAACTGTATATTTAATTTGTTTCATTAAACTCGCTCGTAGAAATATATCCAATTTGCATCGACGTTTAATTACTGTAATTACTTGTTATTGTTTACGCGTGAGCTGGCCTCTCCTTAAACGTGTCTCATACGCATTGCAAAAGAAGTTTCGCGTTGGACGTCGCGTCAAGCGATCGTTGCAGGGCCGCCTTATCCCATCGGCACTTAAACATTAAAGCTTAAACACCAGACAGATTGAAATGATCCATTCCGGGTTTATTTCCTTGTAATTATCCAAAAAACAAGCATATTCTCCTCGGAAGTTGAAAAAGATTCATTTAATCATCCCCAAACTAAACGTGGAAAAATACTCGTAGTCTCTATAAGAAAGTAGATAATAATAGAATAACAGCGAAATAACAATTTAGAGAACGATCAACAAATTTTAGAACGATTAAAAAAATCAAACTAGAATGCATTTCGAAAGAAAATAAAAATTCCGTAGAATATTTTAGCCGTGCTTGCCGCGGTAAAAGAGGGTTGGCTCGAACTTCGACCCAAAGTTTCAAGGATCGTCTAACGGCGTGCGAACGAGTTAATCCGACTCTGGATCGTCGAAGAAAAATTTGGCGAGCGTCGATGCCCGTAGAAAGCATCGCGGTACGCGATACGCATACCGAAACTATGGCTCGTCGGCATTGAATAAAATCGAAAGACGCTCTAGCCAGCGCAACGGTTCCGGAGGGTTCGGCCGGTTGTTCGGCTGGATGTCCTCGGATTACGCCAGGAAAGCGTAATTCTATCGTGTGGGACGGGCCTCGATCATTCAATATTACACCGACGCCACGAAATTTATCGTCTTGGTTTAATTAAGGAAATTCCACTTGACAATAACGCGGCTCCCGGCGACCGCCATTTGCATGTAGCGTTCGAAACTGCGGAGGGAACACGAGCACGGAGACAATTCGGGTCAACGAACCACGTCGCTGAAACGGGGGAAACATTTTCCCTATTTGTACGATTTAACGCGGGTCCTTTTAATACCGCGCAGAGAAATCTGCTGTGTCTTCCTAATGAAATAATATTTAGAAATCTACCGTGCTTTTCGTGGAAAACGTGCACGAGTGAAAGCAGCCACGAGGATTCGCTCGTTCGGAGGCTATATCGGTTTTGTTCGTGATATTTAGCAGGTTTGCATAACGGATCATTTCTGAATTGCTGATTCAGTAGCAAGTGGATAGATTATCTTTAGTGTTGGAGGTGATACTTTAACTGCCGGTAGTTGTTTAACCTTTTGAGGAATTAGCTGGGGATTCTTTAAGCAGTTCTTCGATAATGATAGTTCTATAGTTGTGAACTCTAAATTCTGTTAAATAAATTTATAATATAGATATTCAGTATCTATTGTTATAGATATCTATTATTATCAATATCTAATATTCAATATTCAATAATTCACAACTATAGAACTTAATATTCATAACAATAGAACTACCACTATCGAAAAACTGCCTAAAGAATCGCCAACTACTAGTTCTTCAAACGATTAAACAACCGGCAGTTAACATTACGATTTATTCATAAATAAAAGAAAGTATATCAATAAATAATTATATATTAAAGTATCAGCTTCAAGGCTAAGTATAATTATTTTTCTACATAATCAATATAATCTAAGTTTTCAGTATAATCTAATATTAATTCAGTATTATCCCTACCTATCCTCTGCAGGATAATAAATAGTTTCTTAATTTCATATTATTTACTAGACTGCAGATTTTATGCATTTATGAGAAATGCGAATGCATAGTATATAAGAATAACATTCGTCAGTTTTGAATACTGCTAGTACGTTATCTTCAACTCATTGAAATCCTTAAGAAAAGAAATCAGTTCTAACCTTTGTAACTTACTTCGAGTAACTTACGTAGTTCGCGTAAAAATCCGTCGTCTAATAATGTCGATTCTATTTCCCAGGAAGCTCTGGGTATTCATAGACGACCTGAGGAGATCACCGCAAACGTTCGTCGAAGCGAAATTCCTGGAGTCTCAAGTGAGCGATAATTTAAGCGACAATGAGTCCTGGGACACGGACTTCGAGGACGACTACAACGAAGACAGCGTTGAGCCAGAAGTACCGATGAGGCCACCGAAACTTCATGAAAGCGACAAGACTTTCCCGCAGGAGGCTGCAGGGAAACCAAATGACGGGGACACGGATGGAATTTCGAGGCAGGACGAAGAAAAGACTTACGCCAATTGCAGCTCCATTCAGGACACTTACGAAAACTTAGAGGACCACAGGGTCCTGCCGCCGAAGAATGCGTCGAAGCTGCACGGCCCGGCGGAGAAATCTCTCAGTGACCAACTAAAGGACCAACTAAAGGACAAACTGGGGCGGATGTACACCAAGAAACCTGAAACGCGCTCGAAACCTGAATCAGTGAAGGCGGGGATCATCGAGGCCAAGCAATTGGGTCGCAACGAACCGCAGAAATCATTTTTGTACAGTGCCCCGGTAGTTCCTAGTCAGTTGCCAAGTTAGTAAACGAAAGTCAATTTGGTTTGAATATAGAGAAATGTGGGAATTAGAGAAATTATCGTTTGATTTGTTCGCAGCAGTGTTTATTGGTAGAAGAAATAACTTGTTGGAGCAACCAGTCTCTTAATCTTGTTTTGTGTTCCAAAGATTACTGATCGAGTTGTTTAACAGACATTTCTTTGAAAGTCTTCTTTAGTTAAAGTAGTAACGAGAAATGTTAATAGTAAAATTGTTACTAATTAGAAATAAAAGTAACTGTGACTGTTCCGAGGCGAATGATTCAAATACATTTTACGTAGAATTTCGGTTACAGAATCTTGAAAACGGAATAATGTCACATGATTTTAGTGTTCATTCGGGAGCGCTGGCTACGAATTAGTTAATGAACAAATTGGACAACTTAATCTGCATTTTCAGAGAGGATGGCTGTGCCGCCGCCGCCGAAGCCCAAAACGAACAAGGGCCCAGCTGTGATCATAGAGAGGCCTAAGAAGACACCTGCGAAGCCTCTGACGATCTTAAAGAATCTTGATCTCGTCGCAAATTTACCGGCGCAGACCGAAGGGAGCGAAGACGAGTACGAGGCCTTCGACGAACAAACAAAAGATATGGTCAGGGTTGACAGTAAGCAGTCGCTGGCAAGCCATCTGAGCTCGGCGGAAAGCGTCTACAAACCGCCTAGCAGCGTGACAAGTTACGAAGAAGAGGAATACACGTACGAAATTTATGAATCGATCACGGAGACGGTAAGTTTACATTGTTGTTTTTAACGTGGCAGGTGGTAGATTAATAAATTATTATGATTCCTTCAGCCAGACGATAATAATTATTACCTGAGTCCTATTCAAAGGACGCCTAGCGTGACGCCGCCGCCGCCATTGCCAGCTAAACCGACGCAATCGATCAGCCCCTTGTCAACTTTAAATCGGACGAACTTAGGTGAGTTGACTGATTGTCAATTGCTAACTAATTATTTTATATTATCAATGATTGTTTTACATGATTAGCTTATACTGTTAATAATTCATTATTTTATGTTATTAGTACCTCACAAAGTGACAATCCGATTTACTTCATTCGAGTCAATATATTAACAATTACATTCTCACGTCATTTTTATCATAAGAAATTTTTTTTACGAAAGTCTGCAGATTATTCGATCGCATTTTGCCTATTGGTGCAATGCCGTGAACACGGAAAGTTTGCAATCTGGTAATCAGCAGCTTTTTATATTCAGTTATTTTTATTTTCTTCTGAAGAGTACGCGAGGAATATTCCTATATCTGAGTTTCATGTATTTTTAAAGTACTGCGAGCGGTGCACAGCTTATCTAAAAGTCTCTCTAACACGAAACGCCACTTTTAACGCACCGTGCACGCGAAACGGGAATAAATTACGAAGTAAACGGTTCCCATGATATAATAACGTAGCTCCGTCGGTGGGGGAATAACCGCAAAAAGGGAAATTGGTCGGTGAATGTTAGACAGGGGGTGTGGAGCGTACGAGGTGTAGCAAAAACCACGGGCAGGGTGGAAATTGAAGAAATAAAAAGCTCGTTGGGCTGACTTCCCATAAACATCTGCGCGGCAAATGCTGCTCGTACAACCTGCTGCACGGAGCAATTGCAGCCAGTTATGAACGAGCTATCGCGCCCTTTATTTCGAACCGTCGCGAACGAAAATTCGTGTCCACGTTCGCGATCAGTTTCCATTAATCGCTCCTATCGAAAGAATGGTAATGAAAGTGAAATCGACAACGTAGCCAAATATTAAACCAAAAAAAAAGAACCGAAATAGTGTTACGAATGAGAAGAATATAATATTGCGCACGGTTAATTAGTGTGTCGAACACTTATTTCAAATATGTTGGTTACTTGTGAAAATTACCGTGTATAGTTTGAGTTTGATAGTTTTTGAACGAGATGCGTACATGTGTGAAGCCCCCGTACACGCTGAAACATGCGGCGCTCAAATACGTCGCTACGAACGATGGGTTTGAGTCTTTTCCACTTTTTGTTCGAGTGCAACACGCATCACGAAACTGTGGAAGACTCAAATCCATCGCTACAAGTGATGGGTTTGAGCATGCCGCAGTTTTTATCGTGTACAGGGGCTTTAAGGTGTGTGTGCCGAAGATCGTCAGGTGGTGGGAGCGAGCAGAGGGTGCTCTTCACCCAACCGAACTGTCTTCTTATGAGTGCAGTACGAACGAGGAAGAGAGAGCGAGCGAATCGGATGACGTCTAACGAGAGAGAGTGAAAGAGAGAGAGAAAGTGAGCGAATGATGGAGAATCAGAGAATCAGTGACAGAACAACGAAGAGCGCCTGCCGCGAAAAATGAAGTATAAAGTCTTAAACTAAGCCGCCGTTCTCCTTCCCGAAATATTCTTAGACCGATCTGAAAAGTGATACATCAATGTGATATCGAATATATTGGAATGATGTTAAGTACAACGAAAGTACGTTCGGACGTTACGAAGTGTGCCAACGGTGATTGTTTCAATTTATCAAAACTCCGCGGATAGAAATGTTCAACATGCCCAACGATAAGGACAAGTGGAATATACTTAAGTCGATGATTAAGCTCGGAATGTGAAGAAATTCTGAAAGGAACGAGTGGGGATGACTTTTATCGCAGTTGTGCCACAGTCGAAACCACTAAAGGAGGAATAGTGTAATGGAATGTGTTCCTGTTTCTACCTGAGACTGAGCAAACAGCTCTTAGGAGGTCTGGGTGCCCGTTTGGCAGACGAGGTGTCCGATATGATAGTGAGGATCAAAAGGGGACTTTCTAGGTGTTGCTATTCCCGCCCTCCCGAGCCACCAGGTATAGAAATCTAGTTGAAACACCTGCCGCACGGTTCTTTTTTCGTACTCTTTTCTTCATTATCATGTTGGCTTAGGTACTTAGGTCAATCTGTTCACGCGAAGCGATGTACCATATGTTATTTACTCTGGGAGATTGCGATCTGGTAATTTCAGTAACTAACGCGGGACATTACTGTTATGCAAATGTAAAATTACCTGTCTCGTCGCATGTAAGATATTGCAACACAAGATTTTGGTACACACTTTTGAAAATTAATTATTCTATGGGAAAAGTTCGAAATTCTGTGCTAGAAATGGTCCTAAACGCGAAACGTTCGGGAACATTATAGTTAACAGTAACTTGATTAAATATCAATGTTATGGTTTTAACCCTTAAAATGCTGAGTGGGGTCCTCTAGGAGACCCCAGTATGTTTACAGCTAAAAACAAAATAACGGTAATGTTTTTAGAATAGACAAATCACCCACAATACTTGAAAAAAGAGAAAACACATAAAATATGAAAAATTACAAAAAATTACTTACAAAATTATTAAGAAAAAATACTTTCCGGGCTCCCTATAGGACTCCACTCAGCATTTTAAGGGTTAAAATAACATTAGCTTAAAAATTCAACACAAAAATATAATTCGAAGCAATTTTTAGAGTACAAAGCTAATTTATTTTTTAAAGAAGAGTCTATGTGCTCTGATTCTTCGTGTCTCTGCGTAACATTTGCTTTCCAAGTGCACCCCGAGGTCGCCGCATTCCTTGAACTTTAAAGAGTCAAGAACGCATGAGGTTCTGTTGCCTATTTGTCATCCATTTCATCCAAAATTGGAAGTTCGGAACGCGTTCCGAACGACCGAAAAATATGCACACCTAGGAGAGTACAATTTTAACTATGAGCTTGCCCCATGCCGAGGGACCAACGGACAGCCGAACTTTACTATTCATTCGGACCTCGAGTTAAATGCCAGTCGGTGCAGTGATTTGCTCGCGTTCGGTTCGACTCAACCCGTTCCCTACCTGCCTCCAATCCTAAAGTCCATTTAAATCCTCGTGAAACATTGCGTCTCGCGACTGAACGGTTTAAAGCCTTTTTCAAAAACTTTTCCATTACTAATCGCACAGCACGCAATTCTAAATCGTCAATAATACAAAAATCCCGTAAAATCAACATAATTCCTTTAACACAACAAAAATTGAGAAACTAATACTTAAAATAACAGTTCGCTCTTCAAATTCTTTGCCTTTCGTAACCACAAAATTTTCCATCGAAGTGTTACCGTTGAATGTAGACAAAGTGTGAGACATGACCCAATAACTAAGTGAACTTTTAAAGATTCCGTTAATTCCCGACACGTGGCACTACGAAATAGCCAAAAAAAAACAGTACAAGATCGTTTTCGATAAATTCTATTTCTGTGCGTTTTTGTTCGACAGCCAAGTTTCCGTTGATAAAAAGAGAATCTTCTTAAATATTCCATGAATTTAGAAACCGCTTGAACATGAGTGGAAACAGGTGCAACAGCGATGCGCCGGTGCGCGTGTTCCATTAAATCGGATTAACTCCATTAAGTCCGGATCAGTGCGTTGTATCAGTGCGAAAGGTTTACGGGGAAATAACGATTCAGAGGAAATGGCGACCATAATCGGCGACACGAAGCGAAACGTGTCTTTGAACACGGCGATGCGCCGGCAAGCCAGCCTCTCGGAGTGCCTCACGCAGGCAGCCCTCACTCAAGCTCGACTGAACCTAGCAAGTCAGTTTCATCATTTTTTTCAACTCAATTTTCATTGTACCGGCCTTTCCGATCATTGATCCCCGACTTCTACGGTCGGACGCAATCTAAACTGTTAGGGGATGAAATCCAATTTGTCGGATAGTTAATACAAATGGAAGGGAAAACGTGGTTCTACAATTTAGAAAGATGAAACAGTATGGTATTATGTCCTCCTAAATTAGGCTAGCAAATTGGTAATTTTGAATTTGCGAGAACTAGAAACCAAGTGGTTTTTAAGTTCTGAGATCAACTGGAAAATAATCAATTACTGCTTCTTGCTTCTGATCGTTTTAGAATATTCATTTTATGACGTTTCCTGATTAATTAGTGGAACTGTCAGTTTTATTTCTATATTGATTGATATTAGAAAGTGTTTGAAATAGGATTGGTAGATAAAGAGATCTTTTTTCGAGTAAAGTCATCTATCCTGCTTCTTTTCCATGTGTATTCTATGGACTTTTGATTTGAAATACCTTTAATGTATGATTTATTGATTGCAGAACGATCTCCTGATAAGAAGTCAGCAACACTGCCTCATTCGAACAGCAATACCTCGTTGTCGTCGGAAAGAGCTACCAGACCGCTGCCACCACCCCCTGAGAGGCATTCCTACGTTGATAAACCTTGGTTCCATAACGTTACCAGAGAACAGGCAACGGCTCTCATCACGGAACGTACGCATTCGCCAAACCTGTAAAAAATAAAAAATTCAATGTTAAACCCTTTGCACTCGGATATTTTAATATTTCATTTAAAATATCCCTTCAGAGGGGACTCCATTGAAATTATAAATTCAAAGGATGTCCATTAAATACATTGGAAAATTTCAAAGCACAGGCTTCCCCCTTTTCGGTGAAGTTTCCTGTAAAGTTCGAAACTAGAGCATATAGAAAATGTGCTGTGAAAGTAACTGTTAATTATATTTCTTGTATTATGCAGAAAATAATTATGGCAGCCCGCAAGACGGATACTTCCTTCTAAGGCCATCCTTCAAAAACGTGAACAACCCCTTGGCTCTGGTGCTTTGGTACAAAGATAGAGTTTACAACGTTCCAGTCAGAAAAAGGCCAGACAATAGGTAAACGCGATTTGTTACTTTGAAATTTGTACGTGAATGTTCTTTAGTCCGTATTTATTTATCGCTATCACGGGCTTCTGTAAACAGAATATTGAGCATGTTCCCCTATTGTTCGTTAACAAATGGTACAACTACATCAGTTGTAAAGAAGACTATAAAAATAGGGAGACAATGCACAGCCGTGCAAAATAAATGTGGTTGTTTAAACATTGTATTAAAAATTTTTTAAAGAAATATAAGAGTTGACAGTGTTAAAGAAGAATATTAACAAAGTAATAAATTCTCCTGTTTTTTGATTAACTTTGAAATTACTCGATGTCCATTTATACGCGAAAGTTACAGAAAATGATTTGTCTGTGTTACCGAAGGAATTGAAATGACTTATTGCTATTGAAAATAGATTCGCTTTGGGTTCCGAGAAAGTGAACGAGCTGTCCTTCGCCAACGTGGAGGAAATTGTGATGTTCCACACGAGAAAGGAGCTAATACTTCACAGCGACGGAGGAGAATTGGGAAGTACAAAATTGACCGATACACCGCCGAAATAAATTTCACTAAAGGCCTTGTTCGAATAGAGAAAAGAAACTCAGAAAGTTTCTAACACTTGAAACCAACTGGTGAACTATGGCTAAAAATTCTGAAAGAGTTTCAAATTTACTCGTCACAGAATGTTTGTATATCAACTCACGAAGTGCCTTTGCGCCAGCGAGAATTCTATGCACTACGTAGAAAAGAAAACTTAATTTTGATATAGACGTATTGTAATGTGATTGGAAATATTTACTATATCGATAGAAAGGATCTCTTATAAAATGGACTTGTATATTTTTAATAAAGTACTATACGATTTTTATATTTTTGCTATAGGTAGACTTAAAGATTCAAATCTTACATACATTAAACAATGGACGTTGTTCTCTTAAGTATTCGTCTTGTAATAAACTTACGTCGAAACATTAGAAGCGATATGTAAATAAAATTTGTGCTTAATTTTTGTAAGTAAGTCAATCATTTATACGAACGTCAAGAATGTTTGTATCGATCTTCGGTCTGTTTTATTATGTTTTTACTTTAAGAAATATAAGTCGTGCAGAATACTCGTTGTCTTCGTCGACTAAATTCACAACGATCATTTTCTTTTTTGGTTTATATGCTCATGTCGTAAGAAATTTCGTCCTGATCATTTTGTGCTAATTAAAACCTGAGAATAGAATAACTTAGCTTGTTTGACGCTTGAGAAACGAGCTCAATGATATCAAGTTTATTATATTCCGTTCAAAATCTAATCTCAAATAATTGAACTTCAGAATTCATTTTCAAGCCTTTTCCCTGTCTTTTTATAAAAGACGTCTTTACAGAAGGAACAGAAGGTAAGAGGAAATTCATAAAAATATCCTTCATGGTTATTTTTCAATTTCAATTAAAGGAAAAACGAATTTCTACTCATTTCCACCGTTATCCAACATTACTTAAAAAATCCCCTCCCGATTTCGAAATATTCCTAAACCCGCGAACACTTTCAACAAAATACGAACTCCACTATTTACTTTCATCTCCATTAATAATTTCAAAAATTCTCTTACGTTTAAACAACGTAAAACTTCGATCTACCTTCGTCTATTTTGATCGTTTTACCAACACGGCCGGAAATGCGAATAAAAACAAATGCGATTTGTTCTATCCTTCGCCGTGAATACAGATCGTAGGTGCTCGTAATTTGTCCGGCGGCATTTATCTGCGCGTCCGACGATTAACAGAGATAACGCCGATTAAGTAAACACTTCGGCGATCGAGGCTCGCGGCGATCGAGATCCAGCGGCCAGTTACGTGGTAGATCTCTGCACGTGGTCGTGAAAAGTCGTCGATCGGCCACGAATACGGCGGCGGCTCGCGATCAAACGAAATTTACCGCGTAGAACGGCGTACGTGTTTAATCGGTAACCATCGCACGGTGAGCCTGTGTGCGCGTGAACTTTGAACTGCTTATTCAACAATTGCAAGACAATTACGGCGATCGCGATGCACGACGTTCCATGCCTCTGATATTCCTCGATATGGTGACACAGTATCGAATCTCCATTCGCCTCGAGATATTTGCGTGTTATCGTACGCCGTTAGTACCCAGTGATAAACAAGTTGCAAAGCTATAAGTTGTATATCGAAATAATTCCCATAGAATACAGTAGATCCGAGTGAAGTGTTATCTTAGCGCGATGGTCGAGAAGATTCGATCGAGATTGTCGAATACGATCGGATCGCATTTTGAGTAAACATGAGAAACATTCGGCGCAATGTTTCCTTGAATTATTGGGAGTAATTCAACTCGATGACACTGGTGATTCGTCTTTGAAGATCTCGATCGTTTCGGGGGAACAGGAGTATTCGTCTGATTCGAATCAAGAACTGAAAAGTTTCTCGGAATCTTCTGTGCGAAGCGAAAGGATTCGATCGGAAGCTCGGCAAGATAACACGGAAACGAATCGGTTTTCTGTTCCGATTGGTTTTAGAAAGATTACTCGCGAGCACGCAAGATCATTTGAACGGGTAGCCGCTGTCAAGCAGCTAACGCTCAGGCCAGAAATAATTCCCTAGATTGTCGGTTGGTTACTTTGGTCGGGTTGCGTTGTTGACGGAACGTGGTGGGAGGTTGTTAACGACGAAACACACGACAGGTTTGTGCGCACCGCCCCGTTAACTGTTTATGACTGAACGTCAATTGAGCGGCTCATTTAGCTTGTCAGTTGAGGCTTTTGAGACGAGCATCTCGTGGATCCGGGGCGTTGTACCGAAAATGATGCTGGGACTGTAAACACTCGCGGTGGAGTTGTCCCGTTCAGCTCCGGCTGGTGTGATAAACAAAGTGCTGACATGAGTCAGCGTAGACAGTGCAGCGTGATTTTAAGCGGGAATAATGGTGCGCTAGATAAGTAGCGTTGACCGTCCGGGAAATCGCCTGAGGGAGCAATGGAAGATGAACAACCGGCGAGGGAGGCGAACAAGATCTGCGGCGTGTGCGGGGACCGAGCTCTAGGCTACAACTTCAACGCGGTGTCGTGCGAGAGCTGCAAGGCTTTCTTCCGCAGGAACGCTTTGAAAAATAAGGTGACCAGTTCGAAAACATCCCCATAATTCGCGCCTCGATTTTTTCGTGATCGTCGAACACGGTTTGACCGATCGATAAGTTTGGAACAGTATATTGCACTGTATTTTTGTAACACGGATTTGACACTCTGTACCTTTTTTTGTTTCTCTTTTTTTTGTCGACATAGGGTTGATGTTATATTAAGAAAGACAGACGTCGCTTTGGGAGTCAAATTTGAATTAAGGGAATGGGAGAAGTTGTTATAGTGATTCTTGTTTTGGTGGTAGTAGGGCTGTTGATCGTGTGCTGAGGGATGTTTGGTGTTGAGTTTGGTAGGATGTAATTCTAATGTTTGATGTGTTTTTGCAGGATTTCCGGTGCCCTTTTACAGAGAATTGTAACATCACACCAGTCACTAGGCGGTTTTGTCAGAAATGCCGTCTGGACAAATGTTTCAGTATTGGTATGAGGAAGGAGTATATTATGTCAGAGGAGGACAAGGTGCTAAAGAGGCAAAAGATAGAACAAAACCGTGCAAAAAAAAGGCCCCCTGTGGATAGTGCAAAGACATCCAAGAACAAGAAGAGCTGCATAGAGGATTGCAACTTTGAAGACACCTCTATGTCTGTTAATTCGGTTGCATCAACTGCGTCTGATACATACTTCTGGGAGTCTGATAGGAAATATACAGATTTAGATGCGAACAGGCAGAACATAGTGGAGAGCATGAGCCCTGTAACAGCTGCCAGTGTTCCAAGTCCTTCTAGTCCACCGCAAAACGGGATTATAACCGGATCAAAAACGCTTGATATGATGAAAGAGACTTCCCATAATTCTAGTTCTAATTACGAAAATTACGACCAATCTTCTCATCAGGAAGAAAGTGAGATTGATGTGGAGAAATTTAAGATAGAGACGGCTCCCCTTGTACAGAATCAACAGAAATTCGACAAAGTGAAGCCAGTGTCTAATAATATGGAGAAAGAGAAGAAACCTGTCACAAGCTCCAAGAAGTTTGAGCAAAATCTGTTAGACCTAAATGCTGAGTTTGGCTCGAATAACAACGAATCTTTAAAATATTCATCCGAATTTGTCAATGCGTCTGATTATACTAAGTATGAACGTAGTCCTGTACAGAACTCTGTGTACATTGATCAAGAATCACATCAGAAAAAACAAAATTTTGACCTAAACCCAGACACACCTGTGAGTTTACATCCTTGTTCAGAAGAACTAACGATATGTGAGAAACCGAGCAATGACACATGTCCAAAAGAAGATGATGGAATTACAAAGTTGTTAGATAAACCTGTTCCAGTTTCAATGCTTGTTAATAATTCTAATTTTATTGCCAAATTACTGCAGAATCAAGACATACTTCTAAAAATTATGACGGATTCTACAGTTGTGAACAAATTAAAAGAAGATCCACAAATATCTGAGTTCCTTAAAGAAAATGGTGCTAGTGTTGAAAGAGAACCAAGCCCTGAGCACCACACAGATGTTCAGTTTAAGGAGGACACAAAGCTTACCAATCTGTCCAGCCATGTGTACAAACAACCATTTAAAGTGAAAGAGAGGCATGTTGAGAATCCAATTTTAACAGGTCTTATTACAAATTCTAATCAAGAAGAATGTATAAAGCAACACATAGAACCTGGTGGTAGTGGTGATTGGAGTAACAATATAACAGATGTCACAAGAGATGTACTTCAGGATGTGCAAAGGTATAGGTGCAGTATAGAATCAATATTACAAGACATGTCAACCGCTAATTCCTTTTCAGAGTACCAATTGTTGCAAACTCCATTGAATCTATTCTTTGTAAAGCAATTAAATTAGAGTTTTCAGCATATTCTGCTCTTGGAGGTATGGAGTCCAGGAGGGAATTAAATGATGCTGAAAGAGCAAAGTTGAATGAATTAATAGTAGCCAACAAAGCATTATTGGCTCCCTTGGACGAAGATATAACAAATTTAATTGAAGAAGATTGTAAATTTAAGGTAACGTTTAAGGTGTTACGACATTGGCTGCTGTTCTTATTCAGTTACAATGAATCTCCTTCCAGAATAATTTTGGTCAGTCTGACCCAGCATTGTTGGATGTTATAAATTTAACTGCCATTGCTATTAGACGCTTAATAAAAATGGCCAAAAAGATCAATGCCTTTAAAAACATGTGTCAAGATGATCAAATAGCCCTCCTGAAAGGGGGTTGTACAGAAATGATGATTTTAAGGTCTGCCATTAATTATGATGCAGAGAAAGATATATGGTGGATACCACATAGCCAGGAAAGTATGTCAAATATAAAGGTCAATGTGTTAAAAGAAGCAAAAGGAAATCTCTATGCAGAGCATGCGCGATTTATTAGAAGTTTCGATCCAAGATGGCGGGATGAAAATATTATTTTAATTTTAAGTGCAATCTCGTTGTTTACACCTGACAGACCAAAAGTGGTGCACAATGACGTTATCAAATTGGAGCAAGTAAGTGAAATATATTTCCTTTTAGTTCAAACGATAGAACTGTGTCATTTAGTTTTAACAATACGTTCTTTTTTTTTATAGAATTCGTACTATTACTTGCTTAGACGTTATTTGGAAAGCGTATATCCTGGCTGCGAGGCCAAATCTATGTTTTTGAAATTGATTCAAAAAATTTCTGACCTTCACAGACTGAATAACGAAGTTGTCGGAGTTTATCTTAATTTAAATCCATCACGGGTGGAACCACTGCTCATAGAGATATTTGATTTGAAACACTGATTAATTTATTTATTCTTCTAACGAACTAAACAATCTACTGGTTAAAATCTGTTTAAGCAATCTTTTTGTTAACACCTCAGTTCTGCAGAACTATAAAGCCATCACTACTAAATTCTTTTAGTAATCGTACATTTATAGAACTAAAGTATAGCAATAATTTAAATATTGTAAAGAAAATAAGTAATGTAAAATCTATAAAGTATTAAACATCAGAGTATCAGATTGCGAATATATATGTATAGGCAGAACTATGTATATATATACATATAAACATGTTTATAAAGTGTACTATTATATATCATTAATGTTGATGCTTAATATGGAAAAATTGAAACTACTCTTATCAAATTTTATGTGTATATAGGTGTACGTTAGAGAAGTGTCTATATACACTTAATATAGTAATTAATTCCAGTATGGAATATAGAAAATTGATCGTGATTGGACAAGCCAATGCTTACGAGAACGGTGATTCGATACTTTAGATTTTATATAAGCAGAGATTATACATATACTATAGTTTTAATCGAGCATGTAAAACTATTGCATCACACTGCATAAATTTCTCTATCTAGTGAGACTAAACGCATACGTTTAGCGTTAGCCGAATAATTCTTATACGGTTGTTAAAAGGATTATGTATATTTTGTCGAGAGTACCTTAAACTGTTACGTCTAGAGAAAATATTTGTTATAATTATACCAAGTTCGATGTTCATGTTTCACACATCTTCACAACTTGTAAAAGATATTTGTTTGTTTTAGAACAAATTACAAATTTCAGAGGAGTTAAAAGCTAAACATGAATTCAGTTCTTGGTATAAGATAAAATATATAAGATAGTTTCGCTCCAAGCATGACCTGAGTGACGTTCGTTCACGTTACAAAGATTTAAATGTACACTATTGTGATATATTGTGTCGAAATATATTTTTCAAAGAACTGTTATGCCCGTTTGTGATTAACTTATTTAAATTTTATTGCCAGTGTCTCGGACAACAGACCTGGACACACTTCTGAAATAATAACATTCGAAATATTATTTCTAATAAAAAAAAAGAAAAGGAAACTCTTCAGTTGACTTTATAATTATTCCAATTCATAACAGTTACTTCTCTCGTGTCATTCATCTTCAGTCGTTGAGAATTCGTACCCAAGCAGTTGCAGGATTATGATCAGCATAAGAACGGAGGACGAGACACAGAAGATCAAACTGGCGAGAACGACGAAAACATATCCCAATGTTGTCAAAGTAAATGAGAAGACACAAACGATCCAGTCCCAAAATGTTTTAAATATCATTTCCTTTACACCTTGCAATTTACCCAAACGTATCTCTTAATACCAGTCACTCGACGAGTCATACATTTCTCAACATCTCAAATCGAAATAAAAAATCATAAGTATCGAACACGAATGTCAATTGTCCTATTGAATCACAAGCCTGACGCTTCAAGGTGTTGCTCATTTATTCACAGTACAAATGCAATATAAATATCTTACATTCCGTTCCATATTTACATTAAAAAATATATAAAATGTATCGCCTTCACAGTTGTAAACAGAATCTCATGTATCGTGGCACGATCACAGTTCCCTCGGAATGAATCCTCGTATACTTGTACTTGATTGCCGCAAACATTTTGGCGTATCGTTCTTTGGCTCTTCTCCCTTTCGACTTCCACTAATTTAATCCCGTTTCGCAGTATTGCAAGGCACTAGTCGCGGCGCTGATTTGATCTTCGGCACAGGCTTCACAAAATTCTCTCGTTTGAAATGGTAAAACTGTTCGGCGTTCTTCTCGTACGACTTCGGGAATGCCCAATTGATCTTCTCGGCGGCTACGTAGGAGGCACCCACAGCTGCGGACACTGTCAAGCGAAGCAAAGTTAGCTCGTCAACAGCCTCCGAGTCGTAAATTTCATTCAGGAAAGAATCTTTCATGTGCTCCCACGATTTCCAGACGGATCCAACGCAGATCACCTTCAGACCACCATGAGCTAACTTTAGTGTCTACGGCATAACATGTTTCTCCCTTACAATCGAACTCCAAAATCAAACGTCGGACTATATGGACAGCGAACGAATGGCCATTCGAAATACAAAATGTACCCGCTGTACAATTCAATTGGCCGTTCATTTTCCGTCCATGCTCTTACTAATCAAAAAGGACAGATTACATTGTGAGCGTTTTTCGCTAGAGCCACGACATACTTGGCAAGGATCGTCCCACCTTCTGCCATCAGATGTAGACAAAGAGGATCCTCGTTCTCGCAACCAACAGCGATTTCCTTAGCGAACTTGGAGAATTTACTTTTATCGAAATCCGTGTACAAGTGCGTCAACAGGTTTGTCCTGTCGGTTACGTTGAAGAACGTCCTAAGAGCCGGCCACACGTAGCTGATTGGCTGCGGCGCAGCGAACAAACCGTCGATGTCGTCGAAGACATATTTACAGGCTCGCTGGGTCAACCAATACGCTAAAAGTACAATTGCTTTTGTACAGAACTATTATAGAATTACTCGATGGTTTCTTGGAAAATCTCAACCCTGGATCACTAATCTCTGATTGATACATCTACCGTATCTACTTATGTCTACAGAACAAGTGCTACCAGTTACATAGTGACCTAGGGTTAGAGGACATCAGCTTGGTAGCAGGTGCAAGAGATACAGGACTAGTTAAGTGAAAATAAAATTGAAAATTAAATTTAAAAAGCAATTGGTAGCATTGTTCGAACATCCCCGAACCACTTATCTTCACCTAGCCATTCTCTGATCATACCGCCGCTTTGTTTCTGTATTCCCTTCCAACTGCTATATCTGCAAATGTTGCAACATCATTTCCCTTGGATTACAGAGACGCTTAACACGTTGACTGCCACGAAAAACATCAGTGTTTTATGTATCACTTATGCTTTCTATAGCGAAGAAACAAAACCAAGAATTATTAATTCTTTGATACGAAAATTCTTATATTACCCTATTATCTGGTTATTAACGTTACAGAAAATTTATACTCGAAATCGACTATCTTCCAAGTCATAATTATTTTCTTGTTTTGAAAGCTCCGGTCATCGGTGACCGCCGTGGCAGTCAAAGTGTTAAAGAATAAGATTCTCGTTTCTCGGTGATACCCACCGCTGCCTTCGTCTCCCATCATGTGTCCCCAGCCTCCGCACGTGACAGTTGTCCCGTCGGCGTTAATCATTAACCCCTTGCTACCAGTGCCAGCGATCAAAACGATTCCGCAGCTGTCCAGGGCGGTTCTAAGGCTGCCCAACGTGTCCGAACTGACAAAACATTCTTTCGCTACGTTCGGATGGTTTTGCAGTACAGTGTCCGCGAGAAGACGGTTCGTCACCTCCTCCTCGCATCCGCTGAGGCTGAGTGCCTAGTCGTTCGCAAAAGGACGCAGGTTGTGTACATTCAGTGCGAATGACTGTGGTGACCGATCATTTATATCCGTTTGAATTTTAACCAGAACGCGGAGACATTTTTTGCGAGACATGTGTCAAAGAATAGCGGTACACCTCGAGAAACAACGAACACGTAAAGGATATCGAAATGTATTAAACGTCAGCAAAAGCTTGAATGTAACTTAATCTACCAGTTAAAAAATCAGTGCACTTTATAAGCGAAATTTCCGGTGGTACGGAATGTGTGAACACGTTCAGCGCCGTGTCAGTCACCGATGACCGCTTCTGAATTACTTGAAAACAATCGATTCTTGTATCTCATAAGTCGAAGAACATTAGGTTCACACGTCACTGAGAAACTTAAATTTTCTATCCATAAAGGAAATCAAAAGCAGATGTTACGAAAATTAAAGTGACACGAGAATTAAAGCGTTAGAAAGGTATGTAAACGAATCGATGAGTGACGATTTGAATGATTCTAAGCATCAATGTTCGATAAAGATGGCTAAAAAGCGGCTGTTGAACAGTTCTGCTTTCCAAGGGCTAACGGGAACTGAAAGTACTCACTAAGGCGTTTAAGGGGACCGATTCGGGGATATCCAAGTTTTCCTTTCCCCTTTGAACCATCGCGCTGATTCTAGCGGCAGTTTCATCCATTCCCAAAGCCTACGAGAAAAAATGCGTACAACCGATTGTCGTTCGGATGATATTATTCATTTCTATATTCAGACGCTCGATTACCCAATGATTAGTAGGCGGCCCTTTAACTTCCGTCAGAGGCGTTCCTTTACCGTCAATGATTACCAAAGTAGAATGGGTAGCGCCGCTAAGAGTCGAGGTCAGAATATTAATTCCTATTTACCATTCAAGAATTTGTGGGACTTTTGTCTTCTCTTTTCGTTATAATTCTATCGTTTTCAATGAAACGTTCAGCGTGTAATTAGAATTGAAACATATCGTACGACATTCCTGGAATTATGACGAAATTAGAAAGTTAATTGGACATTACTATTGTTCTATTACGACGATACACCGTATGCTTCGAGTTTAAGTATTTCATTCGAAAACTGTAGTCTCGTATAATTTTATTAGAAGCTGCCTGCCAATGACTTTGAATAGTCGATAGTTCAAGAAAACATTGGACGCGCTAATCAAAGTACTGATAGTGATTCCAGTGATCGATCGATCGACAAATAATTGTAATCTGAAATTAAACCTGATGGCAAATATACATTCGCTGATAACAGTGTGTGCTTATACAACACAATCGCGGAAATCCTTTCGCGGAAAGCAGAAAGGTTACTGCAAAGAAGGGAAAAACCTTGTTCGATAAGCATCGATAAACGTACGGATTCATCGGAACGTGTCCGTCGATCGCGGATTCTCTACCGAATTCCTCAACAATTACAGAAAAAAGAGAACATTTCAAAAGAGAGAAATTTCGATAATATCTGTAGAAGTGTAACTGATTAAAAACGTCTAATTAACTGAACACATCTGTTCCAAATCTATTAATCTCTTTCCTCTCAAAGTCCCCTTCGTTATTAACAAATGGCCGCCCTCGCGAATTACGAACCGAAATTCACATTTCGTTGCTATCCTTTTCATAATCCTTTCCAAAAATTTATTCTCGCGACGAAATCAAGTCAATGAAATCTCCCACCGAATCCTCAGTTACATATTATTGCGATAATAAGAAACATATGCACCCGGTGAATGAAATGCAAATTATTCCAATGGAATTATTAGAACAATGACTGGCATTCAAACTTGTAATTAAAAGATTATGTAAACAAAATGGAAAAATAAATGAAGTTAAACGTTTTAGTTCGTGGATCAGATTGTACGTTATTGTTAGTGACAATATACACATAACCAGAAATTATAATTAATAACACGATGATACTAACGGCACAATGAATCAATTAACGATAACGATCGTCGCTTAATCACCCTTACCCCTCAATGCCGCCGATTCTAATGTCTTTGTCATATTGGGACAGATCTTTCGCAGGTTTTGCCATTTCGTCCTCCAAATCCTCCGCTTCCCTTCTTCGCGCTTGTTCCCTCAAACTTCTGCGGAGCTGGTACTCATCGACCTTCCTCTTCTTCCCCTTTCCCTTCCCTTTCTTTTTCCCTGCCATTTTTCAACGGAACAACGTCAGGATCGTTTCAAGGGCATCGCAGGTACCACGAAGGACGGGCAACGGGATTCAGGCGCAGGATTTAGATAGGAAATTCTTATCTGATAACACGCGTGCGACACGTAAAAGCTTAATTAGATTCTCTTTCGAATTTTCTGATCCACTTACTACGAAAACTGAACTTGATGGTTCGTCGTCGGTTCAATGGAGACCTTCACGCAATTGGCAATTAGTAATTGCGTCGCGGTGTCAGTGCTGGGACGAGATTCCACGAAGTCTGTTACAAAAATTCCGGAATAAGTTCGCGGAGTAGCAATAACGTGGCAGCGAGAACTGTCTCAACTACCCACGATCGTCGGTGAATGTTTACCAGCGATTCGAGCGTAACTTTGCCCCACTCCTCGTCGAACATCACTCAAGCGACAGGTCAATCTTATATCGTACTATTCAATGGTACGCCTTCTAACACTATGCATTCGATACTTTCACCATTACATGGAAGCAACTTGAAGCTTATCTAATGAAATGCAACAACGTTTATTGCATTAATACAAACAAGGTCGATTATATTCATAGCCACTGAAATATAAACACATTCAAGATGAAAACTTCCCAAAACGTTCGAATTTCTCGCAGCGCCTTCTCAAAACAACATCTCAGTTCACAAAGCGTATCGCATCCCCTAAATCAAAGATCCCCTCTCCAAACCCTACAATCTTACCCCAATCTTGTCCCACTAAGAAATCCCCAACGGTCGATCCATTGCCAACAAACCGTCCATCATCAAAGCTTCAAAATTCGCGGCAGCGCTGCGCCAATGGGACGAACGTCGGCAGCGCTGCCATCCGATGAACACCCGAACTCACCCTCGTACCGTCGAACAGGTCCGAGCGAACGATCTGCGTGAGAACCCGTGGTTCCTCGTGTTCCGTGGTTCGGAACACGGTGGGAGCCGCGCGGTGGCGGGCGGCACCACACTCTCGACATCATCGGCGGCGCTCGGCGAGGCTCGAGCGAGTTGCATCGAGACAGACGCGAGGAGACACAGTGGGTGCCCGTATGTATCTCGTTCGGTGGGTCGCCGTCGGCCATTGTCTCTGACATGGAAGCCCATCAAAATGGCAGAGGCCGTGCAGATGTTTTTGTTCCTATATAAATCGAAATACCGTCGGAAAGGGGGCCAGTGCCGTGTGGTGGTACGGGATCAGTGCGGTGTAATTGCGGTGCCGTGGCCGATACTGTGGGCGGTGCTGATCTGCTGGGTGGTGCACGTAACCGCTGCCGCCTCCTCCTCCTCGTCGTCGCTGACGACGGATACGACCTGCGACACGGAGAGTTGCGTCAACGGGGACTGTGTCAATGGCACCTGCGTGTGCCACGAGGGTTGGCAGGGCACTGCGTGCCAATTCTGCGGCGGAAAAGTCAGGTGAGCACGGTGGGCGCATACACACCGCAAAAGGGAACAGTCCCGCTAAGCCAGCAGCGTTCGCCTGTTAGCATTTTAGCACCCCAGCTCTCCCTGCTAGAGGCTACGATCGTAAACCCCCAGAAACGGGTATATTGCGCGCGTCGATATACGCGTATCACGGTTAAGTGTACAATTGCTCCCCGCAACGGTACATCGACTTTTTCTCTCCTTTCTTTTTAGGTCGCGAGAGAGATTCACTCGCGATTCCCGTCGCGAGGAACATTCTCGAGCAGCCTACGGAGACACGTAAATAAAAGCGCGTGAAACGTGTCTCCTGCTTGGTTGCTTGCTCGCTTGCTTGCGGCTTCCTCGGATTTAATTGCTCTCCCATGCGCGTCCGCGGCCTTTCGATAGGGGGAACCCCGGTCATTGTCTGGGGGCCTCGGGTTCACGCCGGGACAAGAGTTAATCGGGACACTCTCCGCGTGTATAACGGTTGATCGGCGGATCGGCTCGTTGCCCCGTCGCCTGTCACCGGCGGCGGTGTTCCGGGGATTAGATTTCGCGACGGATCGATCACGCGCCGGCTTTAAACTTGACGGGGAAGCCATCGGCGCCCAGAACCACTGTCAAGGGTGGTTCTTCGCTTGTAAGCCGGGGAACGATGTCTCCCGTGGAATCACGGCGCGCCGCCTCGCCGCGCTTGTGCAATGTTTATTCTAGAACCGCCGCGGCCACTCGGCCGAAAGAGAGACCCTAGCAGCAGAGGTGGCTTTCCTTCGTCTCGGCCAGGCGTACGCCGCGTGAAATACGAACGCCAGCCTGCTCCGTTTCGTGTTTTTCCCTCGCGGACACCGCGCGGCACAGTCGTCGGCCCCGGAACGACGCGCCGCTGCAACGGGGAACACATGTTCGGCTCGTCCCGCGCGTGATCACTGAATTTTCAGCGTACGTCACCGTTTGACATTTTACGGTGCGACTGATAGGAGACGTCAGGCGTATGCGTTCGGTTGGAAACTTGTTTCTACGCCTAGTGGTTCTTCGCGGTGATTTGTTTTGAAGGCTGGATTTTTTTAGGCCGCTTAAGGGGTGGATCAGGATTCAGGGGTTGGAAATGGTTAAATAGAAAATGGAACATTTAATCAGGGGGAGTAATGGAGAATCTATTTTTGGATGCTAGACATATCTTCGGTGATTTTACGCCGTTGTGGAGAATAATAGTGTGCTATTTGTGGGAGTAATGCTAGGAATTTGGGTGTGCCTCTTTGGTTTTTTTCTGTTTGTATCAGTAATAAATGGTTTCTCTGTGATGATCCTATCGTTTATGGCTAACCTTCTTTTCAGATAATGACGCAGCTTGTGAATGTAGCTTTATGGTTAGGAATGGGTGTTTTGATTTTCTCATAAGATGTTTCAATGAATTTGATCTCTTTTATGTTAACAAGAATGTTTGGAAGATTGAGGTTAGTTTTTCACCTAACCCCAACGTTCGTATCTTTGAGTCTATTATTGTTCAATATTTACTGTGACGTTTTATCGACGTCGTTCAAAGTTGTGCTTGTACAGTGCCACTGAATTTATGGAAAAACAGATATAGAATCTGAACATATTAATTCACTTGTTTATTTATTCGGCTGAATCGGCACACTTCTCGGTCGAGAGAACTCTCTGGCCGTGTTGTGACATTTAATTTATCGCCTGCGTCCAATGTTTACTTATGTACTTGCTTTATGCGACGTGTAATAAAATCGAATTATGCAAGGTTACGTTTTATGTTCAAGCAGTTGCGGTTAGAGGAGTATTCTTTTACTACTGTCTGGGTTTTTATAACCTCTCCTTTGAATTCCTATGCGTACGCTTTGTTTCGGCGAATCTTATTACACGCTCGCCCTTTGAGCGACGCTTTCAGAGGACAATTCCATTCGAGCATTCGAATAAACGCAGTAATGAACAAATTCCTCGGACTTATAAGACTGAAAATCTTCTTTTATCCTGCGTTATGCATTTTTACACTCGTGTTATGTATTTTAATTAAACTTCTAATTGGTACTTCCGATCCCGAAGAAAATACGCTGTATCTATTAGTAATGAATCACTAGAATTCTAATTATTCGAATAATTCTTGAGAAAAAAATTGAATTCGTTATCATTCGGAACAACGAAAGTCTAATGAAATTAGGCGCTTTGCTAATTATCCCAGACTACCTAAGCGAATTTAAATAATCCGTCAATATTACTCATATAATTTCAACAAATCATATGATTACCATCGTTTAAATAAATTTAAATGAATTACACTTGCAAAATTATACTGAAATATCCAAGTTCACTTTCTATGTTTATTAAGATAATTATTAATTAATCATCATTATCAATCAACGATACACTTCTGTTTTACAATTATAACTAGTGCTCACTATCAGTAACAATTACGTTTAACACTAGAACTACCAGATGGGTCATTCTGACCCATTCCCAATTTCTTCTTTTATAATTACTAAAAACGTACAACTTCTCCGAGAAATCGTTAAAGAAGCTGATTTAGTGATATCTACACTGAAATCTTAATAAATAAGCCAATTGAAATTTTAACCCTTTGCACGCGGCAATATTTTTCATTACAAATATTCATTACTTTCCGACTAAATATTAACGATATTTTTCGCAACTAACACAATTAATTATCTTACATAAATCAAGGGACAGAACTATTTTATTTCGATGTTCTCTATGTCGATACATTACACAAGGTTTAATATTGAACTTAATATTTTATAATTTCACCGCGTCGAATCAGGTGGCGATTGAAAGTGTTAACAAGTACACGGTTACAAATTTCACAAAGAAATTCGGACAAGTCAGAAGTGTTCGGTTAATTCCAGCGTTAATAATAATTCTACAATTACACGATTATACTTCACGATTACGATCACCGAACCTAATTAATTAGTAAATCAGTCGCGAAAGATTGTATCCTAAGACGAAGGTTAGCTCGAACTTTGGGAGTTATTGCTCGGAGGAATATGAAAGGTACGCCCACGCGTCAATCGTGTTCCTTCGATAAGCGTAATTAGACATTGTCTGTACGGTTTTTACGTGTTCGTGTGCGCACGAAACCGGATGTGATTGTTCCCCTACGAACGGCGTGTACGCAGCGTTCGAACGTCGATTGATCGACGCGAGGATCCCGGAGAATCACGAACTTAACCCGGATCCCGTCACGATGGAAGAAGTCGTTTCGAATCTTCATCGCGCGCCGGCACTTGTGAATAATTGACGCTGGAAATAACCGCGTCTCCGGGGCCGCGTTAACGCGAACTTACGGCTGCGAACAAAACACTGACGACGGGAAGGGGGTTGCGTTCCTGCTCGGGAGCGTACACATCTGTATACAGGGTGACTCACGTTGGGCGTAACAAAAAATGTTCGTTGGGGGATCTTTTTAATGGTGCAGGCGAAACATGCTGCACTTTTTGCGCTCGCGCTGGT